TACAGTAAAATATTTCACCTTATCTTAAATAAACTGTGTTCAAAAAAATCAGATTTGAAGAGGAATCTCAAGTTATCCCCAGACAAAAAAAATAAATTCTCATGAAAACACAAAATAAAAGCACTGTTAATATCATTTTGAAAAAAAAAATATTTCCTAATGTCACTGTGAAATTACTTTTAAAATGGAAATCAATTTCAATTTGGCAATGTGGATAACTTGCAAGTTTGAGCTTGAATCTTAGTTTTATCGTAAAATCAAAACGTTTTGGCAGCAGACTTGTACCATGAATGAATGTACCATTAAATGATTTGTAGTTATTATATACTGTTCATTCATTTGATGTTCTTTTCTCTTTCTACAGCACATGAGTTTGATACTCGTAAACGAATGATCAGTAAAAGTTTTCATCATCAGCTGCGGCTGAGTGAACGGCAGGCATTGCTTGGGCCACCTGAAAGCATGAGAGAGCATGTTGTAGCCGCCTCAAAGGCCATGAAAACCGGCAACTGGAAAGCCTGTAGAAACTTTCTCATTAATGAAAAAATGAACGGAAAAGTTTGGAATTTGTTCCCTGAGAGCGAGACTGTGAGGGCACTGATTGTGAGGTAGGTAATCGTCACAAATGGCCGCAGTTGTCTACAAGGATGGCTCACATTTTGTGCTTACACACCTGGTATTCGACGCTCAAATACATTGCATACATATAGCCTTCATATCGCAACCGATGCGATACAACTACAATGCCATTTTAAGACAAGGTGCTGCAGTGGCGTAGCTTCTATCTCAAATGTAATAATGTTTCATAGTGTTTCCTTTTTGTTCATTCAACAGGAAAATTCAAGAAGAGAGTCTTCGCACATATTTATTCACATTCGGGAGTGTATACGAATCTTTAAGGTAGATACATATATTTTAATCTGTTTGTCTTCTTGTTGTTGTTATGGCATAACCTAGGACAAGTCCTATACCAAAGCTATATATATTGATATTAACAGTATCATACGTTGATTTCTTTAGACGTGATGTGAATATCAAATAATATGAGGTTATCATATAAACATTGCATTGCAGGTATGCCCAAAAACAGTATGGTGATCGTATTCAGCGACGTTTAAGTGTAGTTTGATGCGAGCCTGTACTGCCTGAGTGTATACTTTGCAGTATTCTCATGATAACATTGTTGTCTTGTTGTTTGTAGTCATCCTTCACTGAGATTATAATTGCAACCCTAAACATTTTGTTTTGTCGGTCATCACCTGCGCACACTAAAAGTGCAAAAAACTCATGAATCGACAGCTTGTTTACAAACATTGACGTGCTATGGGCCGTCTGCCGCATGCACAGGTGATGACTGACCCACTTTAACTGTGATGTTGAACACGTCAATATTGGTGATGTACTTTATCCCATAGAAGGGAAAATTTGAATGTTTTGATGAGTGATGATTTTTCTTTTTACGAAATGGTAAATTTTTTGTGCTAAATGTATAATAATACCTTGTACTACCCACTGTGATAATATATTGTTTCTTTCAGTTTGTCTACTTTGTCTGAAATGTTTGAGTTGGAGAAACACATTGTACACAGCACAATCAGTAAAATGATCATAAATGAAGAACTCATGGTGAGTGTAATCTAGTAACTTTTAACCTATATTCATTTCATTTAGGGAACGAACACTGCTGTTGTAGCTATGACCTCTTTTAAAGCTGCTTTCCCACTTTGTATGATCTGTTGGAAACTTCACACTGATCTCTGTAGGCATCACAAGCACTTCGGATTTTGTGCAGTTCGTAAGAAATCTTATCCAACAAAATCTTTTAATCGAATTTAGAAGTCACCCCTAAAACAAATAAGTCGTGCAAATATCCAAAAGCACACATTGCAAACTTGAGTTGTGACTTTGAGCTATTACAACAATGAAAATTCTGTAGCACTCGATGTTGACAGGAGCCACTAGCACCTCGGTGTCTGACTGCCAAACCAATTGATGTTACAGGGTTTGCGCTAATGTCTCGGAAAGACGAGTCCCACTTACAAAATTTTAAGAGATTGAAATTTGACCCTGGATAACTTTATTAGAGATTGGACCCCAGCTTGCCTGAAAAACTGGGTCCCTCTTCAATAATTGGAGTCCGGGAAGCAAAATATGGGGTTAACGCAATCCCTGTGTTATCATTATTCATGGTGATCACAATCAGTGGGAAGTGTTCTGCATATAATACAAAGTGGGAATGTAATTTCAATCTTGACATGTATGTAGTGCAACTTCTCGTCATCGCTGTTATGTCCAATATTATACTTATATATCGATACTCTATGTATTATTTACGATGTATTAATGACGTAATGTCACATCCGGGTTACTGAACTAAAGGTGTAATCAAGGCTCAGACACTTGAACGTTACACCAAGTCACCGTACGCACAGTACGACAGTTGTCTATTTGTACTATATTATAACCGCATATAGATATTGTGTACTAAGTTATTGTGCATGACTAAAATAGCATTAATTATGAATAATGGCATGCTGTATTATGGCATGTATTACTATTATTTATGACGTCAAGAGATTCAGACAAAATAAAAACAGACAAAGTGAATTTGCCCCCTGAAATATTCATTCTGTCTAGGGATTATATTCAGTGAATTACATTTTTACCTTGCCCGTACCATCAAAGATGGAAGGGAAAGGTATATTAAGGGAAAAATTTTGTCCTGCGTTGTCGTCGTCGTTGTTGTCGTCATCGTTAATAATTGTTATTGTGTGCATAATAACTTTACTAATTCTATTCCAAACTTTATCAAACTTGGTCACCTTATTCATCATATAAA